GGAGGCGCACTGGTAACTACCGGAGCTCCAGTGCTAGTAGCCTCCATCATAGAGGATTCAGTGGTGGACACCATTGAAGAGGCTCCAGTAGTCATAGACTCAGTCAGGGTGGCTGTAGGAGTAGTAGACTCATCCACAGGAGCTTCAGTTGTGGACTCGTTTACAGGGGCCTCAGTAGTGGACTCACCAACAGAGGCTTCAGTAGTAGACTCGTCTACAGGAGATTCAGTAGTAGACCCGTCTACAGGGGCCTCAGTAGTGGACTCACCAACAGAGGCTTCAGTAGTAGACCCGTCTACAGGGGCCTCAGTAGTGGACTCATCTACAGAGGCTTCACTAGTGGACTCATCTACAGGGGCCTCAGTAGTGGACTCATCTACAGGGGCTTCACTAGTGGACTCGTCTATAGGGGCTCCAGTAGTAAACTCATCTGCAGGGGCTTCAGTAGTAGCCTCACCCATAGGTGCTTCAGTAGTAGACTCGTCTACAGGAGATTCAGTAGTAGACCCGTCTACAGGGGCCTCAGTAGTGGACTCACCAACAGAGGCTTCAGTAGTAGACTCGTCTACAGGAGATTCAGTAGTAGACCCGTCTACAGGGGCCTCAGTAGTGGACTCACCAACAGAGGCTTCAGTAGTAGACCCGTCTACAGGGGCCTCAGTAGTGGACTCATCTACAGAGGCTTCACTAGTGGACTCATCTACAGGGGCCTCAGTAGTGGACTCATCTACAGGGGCTTCACTAGTGGACTCGTCTATAGGGGCTCCAGTAGTAAACTCATCTGCAGGGGCTTCAGTAGTAGCCTCACCCATAGGTGCTTCAGTAGTAGACTCGTCTACAGGAGATTCAGTAGTAGACCCGTCTACAGGGGCCTCAGTAGTGGACTCACCAACAGAGGCTTCAGTAGTGGACTCATCTACAGGGGCCTCAGTAGTGGACTCATCTACAGGGGCTTCACTAGTGGACTCGTCTATAGGGGCTCCAATAGTAAACTCATCTGCAGGGGCTTCAGTAGTAGCCTCACCCATAGGTGCTTCAGTAGTAGACTCGTCTAAAGGAGATTCAGTAGTAGACCCGTCTACAGGGGCCTCAGTAGTGGACTCACCAACAGAGGCTTTAGTATTGGACTCGTCTACAGGAGCTTCAGTAGTAGACTCATCTACAGGGGCTTCAGTAGTGGACTCGTCTACAGGAGCCTCAGTAGTAGCCTCACCTACAGGGGCTCCACTAGTGGACTCGTCTACAGGGGCTTCAGTAGTAGCCTCACCTATAGGTGCTTCAGTAGTGGACTCACCAACAGGGGTTTCAGTGGTAGCCGCATCTACAGGGGCCTCAGTAGTGGACTCTTCCATAGTGGCCTCAGTAGTGGACTCGTCTACAGGGGATTTAGTGGTACCCTCATCTACAGGGGCCTCAGTAGTAGACTCGTCTACAGGGGCCTCAGTAGCAGACTCGTCTACAGGGGCCCCAGTAGTAGACTCGTCTACAGGGGCCTCAGTAGCAGACTCGTCTACAGGAACTTCAGTAGTAGACTCATCCACTGGGGCTTCAGTAGTAGAACCGTCTACAGGGGCCTCGGTAGTAGACTCACCAACAGGAGCTTCAGTAGTGGACTCGGCTACAGGAGCCTCAGTAGTAGACTCTTCCATAGTGGCCTCAGTAGTAGAGTCATCTACAGCGGCCTCAGTAGTAAACTCTTCAGTAGTAGACTCGTCTACAGGGGTCTCAGTAGTAGACTCGCCTACAGGGGCTTCAGTAGTGGACTCGTCTACAGGAGCCTCAGTAGTGGACTCACCAACAGGGGCTTCAGTAGAAGACTCATCTACAGGGGCTTCGGTAGTAGCCTCACCTACAGGAGCTTCAGTAGTGGACTCGTCTATAGGGGCGCCAGTAGTAGACTCATCTACAGGAGATTCAGTAGTGGACTCGCCTACAGGTGCTTCAGTAGTGGACTCGTCTACAGGGGCTTCAGTAGTAGCCGCATCTACGGGGGCCTCAGTAGTGGACAATTCTACGGGGGCTTCAGTAGTAGATTCTTCTACAGGGGCCTCGGTAGTAGTAGACTCTGCAGGCGCCCCCGTCCCCGGCATCTCTGGTGTTTCCGTAGTATCATGGGGAGGGTATGGTGTTGTAGCCGTGAGGACGGAATGGTCGAAGCTGAGCTCAAAAGTCGAGTCCTCAACCCGGTAGGTGTCGTCAACGGTATACATCGGGCCGTAGTCGCCAAAAACGCAAAAGCCGCCACATCCCCTCTCAATCTTCGCCGTAGTGGACTGCATACCGCGTTGGACTCCCCTCCACTGGAGGATGAATGGGAGGCCGTGAGCGAGGACCTTAACGCGGTATCCCCGCATGTAACCAGAACGCTTCCTCATGGCGAGGAGAACATCGCCGGACGTTACCCACACAGGATCCCTCTTCTTAGGTTGATCAGCAGAATACCATGTCTTATACTTACCATCAAAGACGACACAATGAAGCCTCTCATCACCAAACTGATGCATCAGATACCAGGCGCCATCGCCACCAGCGGAACCAAAGCAAGGAACAGCCGTCTGACCCCATGGGAGGTAGATGTTAGCCCGGGCCTTGGCCGTCAAAGTGACGTGATGATAATTCTCGTCCCGGCCGTGCTCACCATCCACCGGCTTGGGTGTGGCGGTTGCTTCCTCACCTACTGAATGATTTCCAGTCATCATGTCAGGTTCGACAGGAAGAGGACGGAAGTAATATGCGCTGATGTACACATTGCCGAAACCATTGTACATCTTCACGGTCGGGTAGTAACCAAACCAATGCCCAAAGGTGCCTCCGTGGACATCAACGGTGAGATAACGGAAGTCCTCATTGTTGACGTTGTACTCCTTCGTCTTGGCGTAAACCGTCACGTCGGTGGCGACGCTGTCATATTCGTCCAATTTGAAGTCACCCGAGTAAACCCCAAACTTGGTAGTCTTCCGGGTATCAAAGAAGTCACCCGGCATAATATCAGTAATATCGCCAACGGCACTCGGCATGAAATCCGCGGCCTCGCTATGGACACCACCCATACCGTGGTGGAATAGGTAATGAAGCATTTGAAAGAAATCCTCATGATCGCCGTTGTCAGTCGGTGGCTGTGGAGGCTTCGTCGGCAAGATGATCTCTTCAGACGGCTTGTGGTCATCGGCAGCTGTCTGCCAAAGGACGATGGAAAGAGGGCAGAGCGGATCATAGGAGGAAGGCTGAAAATACCGGCTACACTCCTTCGCGTGATGCTA